TGCTTTAAGAGGGGAGGACTTCCACTCCCAGAATCCCCCAACCAGGATGCTTTAAGAGGGATGGATTTCCTCTCCCAGAATCCCCCAGCCAGCATGCTTTAGGAGGGGTGGACTTCCTCTCCCAGAATTCCCCAGCCAGGAGGCTTTAAGAGGGGTTGGGCTTCCTCTCCCAGAATCCCCCAGCCAGCATGCTTTAGGAGGGGTGGACTTCCTCTCCCAGAATTCCCCAGCCAGGAGGCTTTAAGAGGGGTTGGATTTCCTCTCCCAGAATCCCCCAGCCAGCATGCTTTAGGAGGGGTGGACTTCCTCTCCCAGAATTCCCCAGCCAGGAGGCTTTAAGAGGGGTTGGGCTTCCTCTCCCAGAATCCCCCAGCCAGCATGCTTTAAGAGGGGAGGACTTCCTCTCCCAGAATTCCCCAGCCAGGAGGCTTTAAGAGGGGTGGGCTTCCTCTCCCAGAATCCCCCAGCCAGCCTGCTTTAAGAGGGGTGGGCTTAAACTACCAGAATCCCCCAGCCAGCATCCTTTAAGAGGGGTGGGCACTAAAGAAATGCTTGTAATTTGGGGACTAACTGCCTTGAACCCTTCCACGCTCCTTCCTTTTGGGCATCAGTAGCTGATGCAAAGTTACTAACGGAACGAATAAAGAAAAAGGAAGGAAATAGAGCGAAATGTAGTTTACTCCGTATTCTTTCCAACTGCCTTTGCTTTTAAGATCCTCCTTGGTGTAAAATGGGAGGAGGGCTTGTCCCACAGGGAGCAGGGTCCCGATTTTTTTCTTTCTTTCTTGCAAGGTGGGAATTAGAGGAGCGTTCCCGAACTCTTCTGCGGGGGAGAAAAAGGGAGGTGTCTTAGTCCAGCTGAGTGAAGAGAGCCAGGAATTTATTTACGTTTCTTTCTCATCCTCAGCAAAGCCTCTGTTTGCACAACAAGGGCCCTTTTGAAGGGCTGAAAGGCTGGATCTCCCCAGGAGTGGCTTGCTTACTAGAGGGAGAGGAGAGCTCTCCCCTTAAGAACTGTTTGACACAGACTTAAACACACTGGAGGAGATTTTTAAGAAGAGATTGGATGTCCATTTGTTTGGACTCCGTTATTCTGGAAGGAAGGAAGGAAGGAAGGAAGGAAGGAAGGAAGGAAGGAAGGAAGGAACTAAGGAAGGAAGGAAGGAAGGAAGGAAAATAAATAACAGAATTGGAAGGGGCCTTGGAGGTCTTCTAGTCCAGCCCTCTGCTCAGGCCATTTCAGAAAAAAACAGTTGTCCAGTCTCTTCTTAAAAACCTCCAGTGAGAAGGAAGGAAGGAAGGAAGGAAGGAAGGAAGGAAGGAAGGAAGGAAGGAAGGAAGGAAGGAAGGAA